GCGAGGCGGTATATTTCCCGCAATTATACAAAATAGTAACTGCGTATGTCAGGTCCTGCAATCAATGTCAGTTAATAAATGATATTAATTACAGCCCGGCCGGGTACTTAAATAGCATTCGCGCTACATTTCCGAATGAAATTTTAGGCATAGATCTTCTTGGTCCTTTCCCCCAGAGGGAGTTAAATAAAAATCGTTTTTTTTTTAGTAATTGTAGATCATTTTTCAAAATGGACAGAAATTGTTCCACTTAAACGCGCGTCAGCCAAAACAGTCGCAGATGCATTCTTACACAGATACATTTTAAAATACGGTGCACCGATAAAAGTCATTAGCGATAACGGTAAACAATTCGTTAGCCAAATATTTGAAAACATATGCACTGGACTTGGCATACGCCATATCAAAATGGTTCCGTATAGACCACAGGCAAATATCGCAGAAAGAGTTAATAAAAATATTGTAAAAATAATTCGAAGCTATGTTAGCACACATCACAAGCGCTGGGATGGCTACATAAATGAGTTAGCTTATGCTTTAAGAACGGCAAATCACGATACTACGGGAAAAACTCCAGCAGAATTATTTTTAGGACGAAAGTTAATTACGCCATTAGATAAATTATTCTTTGTGCAACAAAGAGAGCAAGAATTTAAACAAAAGATGATGCAAAACTTATTGATCAGGCGGTTAAAAGTTCGGATACGGCAAGAAATAGGACAAAACTTATACTATGATAGAAAACGCCGTGAAGCAGATTTTAAAGTTGGGGATAAAGTGTTGAAGCGGAAATTTTCTTTATCAAGTGCCCCAGACAATTTTACTGCAAAGTTAGCTCCAAAATTTGAAGGCCCCTATGTAATTCAGGAAATCAAGGGAGTCGTATTGTACCTTAAGAACGAGAGAGGGGAAATCTGTAAAGCAAGTCCCGACCAGGTGAAAAAATATTATAATCAAAATGATTTTGAAATCCTTAAAAGTTTCTTGCAGGACTCAAGCGTAAAAGAAGTGGAAGGTCCAGAATAACGCCACCCGTTCCACCACCCAAGAAGCAGAGAACAGAAGAGAACCTAGCCCTTCTACAAGTCATCGACGGTACCGAAAAGAAGGAAGGAAAATGGTCAGACTCCAGCATTTAAGAAATACAAGAAATCAACGCCGCCGCGTAAAGAATCTTTGGTAAAGAGGAAAAGACCAGTTACAACTTCCACAGTAGAAAAATCTGCGTCGAGGAAACCACTTCCAGGGCCAGATAGTCAGGAGCAAACAAGGCCGCCGTTCACGAGAAAAAAAGACAGCAAGAGGAAAGAAAAGATTGGCACCAAGCAGAAGAAATTCAAGCAAGAATCCAGACCGGAGGACGCCAAGACCAGCCGTCCAGGGGCAAAACGGAAAAGACAGGAACCCGAAGACTACCACCCCAAGAGGCCGGCGTACAGAGGGCGAAAAAGGAAAGTCCGTCACCATGGAGGAAACTCGAAGAAACCAAAAGGGAGATTAACTTCCATGAACTCTGTAAACGTGGGATCAATTTTGCCAGAAGAGGATGTCGGAGTTCCAAGCATCGAAAAACTCAAAGATAAGTTAAAATCTTCTATAAATTTTTCTCTTTTGTTCCTGAAATGTTATGCGTAAATACGAAGTTCTATGTTTTGACGGAAGTCAATTTGTCTCGGTTGAGACTTAGTTTTGTTTTACTTTATTTAGCTAAGGCAAAAGTATTATTTTCTTTAAGTATAAAATCTAAGAACAAGCATTTTCTGTTGGTCGAAAGACTAATTCTGTTATGTTAAAGCCAAAATTTGGCCGAAAGATAAAAATAACTTCGTATTCTTGTATTAATGTAAAATTTAGTTTCAGTGCCGCCAGCTTGAAGTAAATTAAAATTTATTTTCTCTTATTCATTTTATGGTAAATTGTAAAAATCATATGTATTAGAATTTTGTAAATATACGTAAATACTTGAAAGTTATGTAAAAGTAGAATTTAGTCTAGAAGCATAAAATTTTAGATGCTAAAAGTAAATGCTCAAAAGAAATGAATTAAAATTTAAGTATTAAACGTGTAGATAAAATCATGCTTTAGAGCGAAAGCCTGCATGTCTAAAGATGTCAAAAGATGAATGAGGGGAAATTTAGAATGAATGTGTTTTGTAGGGTTCTCCACCTACACTTGAATTTTAAGAATGTTAAACATAGCTCATCGAGTTTCAGTATGTTGGAGTAAGGTGTGTCATATTTGGTCGTTGAATTCTAACAAATCATTGTGGTTAGGGGAAGTGTTGTAATACAAAAACACGAATATTCCCGTTTGACACCACACATGGTGGAGAACCAGGGTAAAGTTAAATTCATGTTTGAATATTTGAATGAATGTGAATGTAAGCAGTTAACTAAGGAAAAGAAAAGGATCGAAAATGAAAACTTTATTCGAGTGTTAAGAAAGTGTAAATTCATAATGTATTTAGAAGATACTGATACTTATTCCTTCCAGATGCTGGAAGGAAGAGAAAAAGATTGATTGCTGAAGTCCGAAAAGCAGAAAGGATCCTGTAAGAAGATATGTATCCAAATCTATCTACAGAAACGATTGTATTATTTTTACAAACAGTTTTTTTTATGTAAACGGAGCTCTTGAGTTTAGGTCAGAATATGGAAACTTTACCAACAGGTCGTTTCTAGGACCTGCTTCCAAGTTTACCAAATTCTGGCAGCGGCAAATGTAGGGTTTATATTTATTTTAACTAACATTTATTTTAAGCTATCTTTCCTGTCAAGCCTTTACTTTCCCTAGAATTGCCAATGCCAGAGTATGTAAATTGTAGTAGAAGCGCGCAAAGTCTATTCAAATTTTTAGCGGAAGTAAGTTGAGTTTAAATAGAAGGGAAACGAGTTTGTAGTGTGTGCTTCTTCGAATCGCGAGCGTGAAGGTTGCTAGGTAGAAATTTTAAGAACCGCGAGTTTCGGCCTGTGTGCCTATTTCTGCAGTTCGCTGAATTTTTCAACTGCTTAATCAGTAAGCTCGCTGAATCTCAGCTGTATCTTAGAACGCGGTTAAGTTAGTTACGATTTCAGAGCCTCGTAGGTAGTGATCTCGTTATTTATTCATCTTGTCATTTATTTTTAGTTTCACATTTCTGTTTTGTTAAACCGCCGGGTCGGCGTAGTTTGTGAGCGTCAAGTGAACGCAGCTGTTATTTCTAAAGTGGAATAAAAAGGGATTTAAACCCTTCTTTCGAGTTTGTGTAATTTACAGTTCATAGCAGTCACTACCATAGTTGTTGACAAGTTGGGGGCCACGCAACACTACAATATAAATAGAAAACAGAACTATGAATTATATGGTTGCCAACACTGAAATATGAAAAACCGGAAGGTTCTCGCAGCGCGGTGACTCCACATTGACTTTATAATGAATATATAAAGTCAATGTGGAACTTTATAATGAATGATTCAGGTTACTAACATATTTATAATATACCTGATACAAAATATAATATTTAATTAGATATTCTAAATTTTGTGGTCTTTGAATGATTTCATTTTGTAGTTTTCCTGCAAGTTTTATGCTGATAAAACTCTGAGTAGGGAAGGAAAGCTTTCCGTACTTTTAAATACGATGAAAATAAAATTAATAATTAATGTACATAATATTGTGTGAAAAAACGTAGTAGTGTACCATATACTGATGTAAAAAAATTAATTTCAATAAATCAATTCCCACAGATCATTCAACTATTTTTAAAACTTTTTCTCAGTATTTAATTCATAAATTAGAGTTTTAGTTTAGAATATTTAAAACGTTAAAAATTGTTGAATTTCATTATTTAACAATCTGATTTCATTATTTAACGATTTGGATTCAGCGGTGATATTTCACCATTGAAATTAAAACGTACAGTGTCGTCAAATTACGATTATGCATAAAATTCCTGCACTAAATATCATAAGTAAAGCAGAAGTAAGTACCTTCAGAAAAAGGCCATATGTAATAAAAACGTACAGCTTTCCCTTAGAAACATGTGCTAATAAATTAATTCTTTAAATCACAAAATTAAATTATTGCGATTCCATCGCTGCTTATTTTTATAGAAAATATTCTGGACCAGTGCCTGATATTAGCAGTATAGGAGGAATTTTGAAAAATGGATAAGTTGTGAAAATAATAGCATTTATTAAAATGATAATTACCTCGCTTGTTTCAGAGCTTAATTGCACTCTCAAAAACGAAAGATAAGCAAAAAATGTAGCTTGAACAGAATAAATTTAAGATACAGCAAAATGGTTTACTGAGACTCTTTTATAATAAAGAAAACATTATTAAAATTATGACATTGAAATGAGTTATGGAATACCAGTTTCATAACATTAATATCGTGTGTGTGTGTGTGATTATGGCAAAGCCTCGAGGGCTATCTGCCTAAGGGGAGGGATGCCTTCGTGGAGGACTTTCTAAGGGAAACTGGCTCGTATACACGTTACACATGGGGAAAACCACGAAAACGCCCATGCAGCCAGCCCGTTCGCGGGATTCGAACCTCGGACCGAACTACCAGTGTTCAGCGACTTTACCGCTCGGCCGCTGGTGGGCCTAACATTAATATCAAACTTTAGCCTATTAACATCTACTCAAGAGTTATTATTCAACAGAGGATTACTATTTCTTTCCACTTATTGCCTTCAGTACTCCGAATTCTTCGGTCTTCAACCATTTGGAAAAGTATTGTTTTCCAAATTTTTTATCATTGTGACATGTTATTCTAAGCACAGAGTTTCAGGATAAGAAACCTTACTGATTAAGTTGAAATTTTCCCTTTAATCAGCAAGTTCTTCAAAACATCTACAAACGTGCTTGTTTGATTGAAATCGAAAGTGCAGCGGAACTGGGTTCAATGAGTTGTGCAGAAGAAAAAAAATAGAAAGAAAAGAAAAGCGAAACTCGCTGATCCGTTAATTGATAGTAAAAAAGCTGTTGGAAGAGTAAATAAGGGTTTTTCTCACCTGGTTTGTGAGCTTGGTATCCTTGAATTTGTACTTCTTGTAATACAAAACAATGGATTCCAAGTACGGGAAAGGGAAATCGTTGAAGTAATACAGGTCATTCATCTTTACGATTGGGTAGTGGGCAATCTTCTTGTCCGAAGTTCTGAAATTAATTTATATAGGGTTAGTTGAGATTACAACTTCGTTTAGTTAGCAGCAATTAATCTTATTTCTCACTGAACCCCAAAGTTCTTTGAGTGCTATTTCCCAACTTGCAAATAAGAATAGAGCACTTCTTATACTTTTTCAAGGGACCATTGAAAAATATATGTACAAATAAAAAAGATATATAATTGAAATTTTAGTTTAATTTGTGGTTCCTATATTTTAACTGTAGAGATTTATTGTCTATTACTGTACTACGACTGACATACAAATTTAATCTTATCATCCTAGTTTTTAGTTTATTTAAAATAGTATCTGTATAAGAAAATTGAACCATTCCATTTTTAAAATTGTAAACATTCAAACTGTATAGCGTTATATAGAACTACATAACTATATATACATATTTTAACATAAAAATGAGAAAGGCCACATTTTTTTCAATTACCCATTTTTGAATAAATAACATATTTTCCATGAAGATTTAAATATTGCTGAAGATTTAAATTTTTTTAAAAAATTCAAGTTTCGTTTGAAATTGCCTTAAATACTGTAATATGAACTGAATTAAGTTTCAGCAAAATCTTTCTTGTAGGAATCGTTGAATCAATGGAATGCGTTACATCTTGAATAAAAAAAAGAGGATGGCATTAATTCTTTATTCTTTATTCATCTCTTTACTCGAATGTTTAAGTGGAAATCATGCAGTCAGTTTTTCAACTGTACATGGCTTTGATATCATTAGATCAGCATCACAGTTCGTAGCAGTTTCTCGAAAACGCAGTGCCTTACTTCCAGGAGACACTATTCTTCTTCATCTATACAGTTTCATTACCACTTCCGCTGCAAAGAGTTTTCTTATTCTAGATTTGAAAAACTTCCTTTGATGAAACTGTGTTTAACTGTTTCTGATTTTACTCGAATCCAAGTCAGAAATATCATATTCAAATCTTTAATTACGTTTATCGTTCTCCAGATATTTCTTGCAATATTGTTTTAAAATACTTTTTGAATTAATTTTTCCCTCAGAATAGTTTTAAAGTCTTGATAACATCCTTATCTAAAGTTTGATGCGTTTTTGTATAATTTTGCGGTGGGAAACTACTTACATTTTTTCAAAAAGTTAGTTGGTTGTGGGTGCACAAAAAGCATAATTTTACAGTTTTGTGTTCTCTTCGCTTTTACCATTTTCTTGAGCACTCTGTAGAAATGGCTACAATTTATCCGATTTATACTACAGTGATAAAATTTTAATATTTTAAAAATATTTTTATTTCTGTGACCTTCCTATTATTAGACGTGCAGTTTTTTTTTTTTTTTTCTGTTCCATTACTTTTTGCAAGCCGTAAAATAGTCAGAATTGCTTTTACTTTAGTCCATTACATTAATCGCTTTTAAAGGCTACAGGTGAAAGAAGAAACCGGTTTCACCAACGCTGAAAATATATTTTAATTGCATTCATTTCGCTAGATGAATTTTTGAATCATGTTTCAACAGATTGAATTAAAATATCTCTGAATTCTTCGATTATGAAATGACATGAGAATCCGTGGCGCAGTGTAAATTTACGCAGACATCCAACTAAGAAACAAGTATACTTCACACTCAGTTGCAATGTTGCAATGCTTTCTCCTTCAGCCTAGGATTCTTCCCTGGGATATTTGATGCACTGCCTTGAGTAAAAAACTTCAGAAAAAAATTCTAAGCCTCAGGTAAACTTACCCCTTAGACACTCAACTTCTTTGGAGCAAATTTTCTGAAAAGTTCTGTTGTTTCTTCTATTTTTCAGCCAGAAATTATCGCTTTCAATATTGACACAGAATACCTAATTTTTTCGAAACATTTAGCTTTTGTCAAGAGTGCGTAGAGACATTAGGTATTTTAGAAGCTGGAAAGATGAAAAATTAACAATGCTTTCGCCGGGAATCGAACCACGGACCTCTGGAATACCGGCCCAGCGAGCAGAACCACTACACCACGAAGGCACGCTAGGAAGGCGGGAGAAATACCTTATATACTCCCCCTTTTAAAGTGCGACTGGGGTTTCTAGGGGATAGCCAAATCCTGGGTGAGGAGAATCATCATCCAACACCCTTTTAGTTCGGGCGCCACTGTAGAGCCATTAGGTATTTTGGAAGCAGGAAAGATGAAAAATTAACAATGCCTTCGCCATGTGCAGACCACCACACCACGACGGCACGCTAGGAAGGCGGAAGAAATACCTTATAAGTGTATATTTGTCAAATTCTTTTATAATTTTAATTTTGGCTTCTTTCGTTTTGTAGAGATTTTTAGCAACAGATTTAAGTTTATGAAGAGAGCAAAGGACAAATAGCAATCGATTTAAAACGTGTTTATCGAATAACACAAGAATGTAGTACCAGTAAATCTCTCTCATCAGAGAAATCCACACCATGTTCCTTCTAACCATCAACCAGATTTCGAGGTATTCCTTCTTCCCTTTTCTTGTATCGACAAGTAACTTCTAAATGCTACCGACAGAAAGAAATTAAACCGGTTAAATTACACAAGCTGAGAAAACGAACGTTATTGAATAAGCGAAGCAGTAATTCTCAGCCCTTTTTGTCTCACGCACCCCTTTGACCACTGCTAGACGATCAATCCCCCTTTCCAAAACTTGAAGTATATATATAATGTATTATATATATATTTATTTTTTATTGTCAATATGCTGTGATTTTTTTTTTTTTTTTGAAAAGTCCAAGTTATATTCGCGAGCGTTAACTTTAAGATATTTATTAACTGCTGTTTTATTCGGAGAATTTCGACCTTAGAAAAATACAGAATGTTTTTACATACTTTTTTCCACAGCTTGCTTTGTATTTATTAATCTGGTTCTTTTTTTACCATATAATGAAAATAAATCGTATTATTTGGACTCCTTTTATACGTATTTTTCTAAAAACATTCGCGATGGCATTATTTTACCATTATTTCTAGAGCCCTCCTAATTTTTTGGGTGAATAATTATTTAAAAATCTTACACCTCAGAAAAGTTCTCCGAAAGACAAGAAGAATGGATTCTTCTTCTTTCTCATCCTTACAATCAAGGGCATAAAAGCACAATATGAAAACAACCTTTTGCCAGGGTATTAATGGTGTCCGCCGATAACATCGCGGCAAAAACATCGCGGACGAAAACGTCGCGGAGAAAACAACGCAAGGCGAAAACGTCGTGCTACAAAACATCGTGGGAGAAAACATCGCAAAGAGAAAACATCGCAGTTCTAAAACATCGTGGTACAAAACATCGAAGTCGAAAATAAAGCGGTTCAAAAACTTCGCAGTTTAAAAACATCGTCGTCGAAAATATCGTGGTAAAAAATAAAGTATCTACAAATCATCGCATGACAATAACATCGCAGACATGCTTTTTTTTTCAGGTTTTAATAATTGTAAATGGATGTTTATTCCCATAATGATTTGTGAGCGCAAGATGTAAAGAAGGATAATTTTTACTTTCACATTTTTTTATTAACTAATAAATTTTTGCTGAAAAAGTAAGAAGGAAACTTAAGCATATAAAATTAAATGCAACTCATAGATTATACTTTTCATGAAAAATTACCAGTAAAAACTTTATAAAATATGATTTATTAATGGCCTTTGTTAGTTAACTATGTCGGTTTAAAATTCTATTAAGTACTATAAGTTGCATAAATTTTCTAGGCTTAAATCTCCTTCTTATTTTCTCAGCAAAAATTTATTAGTTAATAAAAAATATGAAAGTAAACGTTATCCTTTTTTCCAACTTGCGCTCACAAATCATTGTGGGAATATCCATTTACAGTTATTAAAGCCTGAAAAAAGCATGTCTACGATGTTATCGTCATGCGATGATTTGAAGATACTTTATTTTTTACCACGATATTTTCGACGATGATGCTTTTAAACTGCGAAGTTTTTGAACCGCTTTATTTTCGACGACGATGTTTTGTATCACGATGTTTTAGAACTGCGATGTTTTCTCCCACGATGTTTTGTAGCACGACGTTTTCGCCTTGCGTTGTTTTCTCCGCGACGTTTTCGTCCACGATGTTTTTGCTGCGATGTTTTCGGCTGTAACCGTATTAATGAATCATTACGACGGCAATAGTGTAATAAACTGAAATGCATTAGCTTGCCAATGAATAAACGACTAGATTAATTAAATAAAAAAAACAGTAATATATAGTAATTATATTAATAACTGATAAAATAAGAACTAAATATTAATACAGAAGAGTAGCTGTTTGATAATATATATATATATATATCTATATATATATAGATATATATAACATAAAATTCCTGTATATTTCTTTAATGGATTTCCTCTGCATCGAGGAGGAGGTGAAAATTTTCGGGTGAACTGTTATAATTAAATGTCAAATGGTTCATCAGCTAATTTTGGATGAACAGAAACGCAGTGGTTTTCCAGGGGAAAGAGGTTCAATTGAGTCTGATTTACCTCCTCTTGATATTGTTGAATCAAATTTAATTGTATTCCTCTTCCTATGTATTTTTTGTAGTTACTGCATTTCACGTCTCTTTAATTCTTCTAATTTTTGGTTCATTTTTTACATATTATAAGAAATTTTGAAATTTTACTGGTTTTGAATTTCATTTCTTTTGGATCTTTGTAGAATTGGTTCTAAATTTCTTACTTTTTGTGTGTCTCTCTCCCTCTCTCTCTATATATATATGATAATGCTGTAGAAATATTGATAGTGTAGATATTGATCTATAATAAACAGCACTTTTGCAGCCGAGGTAGATTCTTTTTTTTTTCATTGACATTTGTGACCACAATTCACACGGCACCTTTTCTAACGAAAACCTTTGTAGATGACATAGTTTACAACATGTTAATCAAGACAAATAATGAAAAAATAATTTAGGTGTTAAGAAAGCCTTCAGGATTTAGGTATATACGACAAAGAAAAAACAGATATGAAGAAACAAATGCAAAAGCAAATTAGATCAACATCAGATAAG